TTATTTTTTTGATATTTTCCTGTCCCTTTTTAGTTCTTTCCCGCCATTTTCGTTTCATGTTCTCATCCGTCCCGTTTTTAAACGGCTTGATCCATTTTTCTGAAACTTCTGGAACGGAAAGTCATTCCGATTACAGCAATCCAACTCTCAGTTATTTCCCTTTAGTTTTCAGATTATTTTGTTGCCCGGGTGCAATGTTTCTCACATTTGAAGATGGTGGCACTTCCGGAATGGGCAACAAACTCCATTTGTTGTGTACGAATCAGTAGTGTCGTAGCTAGTAGAGAAAAAAAAATTCAAGGCAATCTGACCTATATTTCGTCGATTTTTTTGTAAACTTTGATCCTTAATTTCATCAAGGGGAGATAATTTAGAAAATTTCTAATGACATTTTTCAAGCCGCATTGGTAAGATCGACATACATACTAAATTTCATGAAAATCGTGCAACTATTAAAGAAGTTGTCAAGTTGGTTTCAACTTCCGGTTCGAAATCACAGTGACGAATTTTCGAAATTGCAGATTTGAAGTAAATGTTTCAATGTACTCAAAGAAAAAAGAATTAGTAAAATAGGTCTCATAGTCACAGAGTTATTGGTATGTAGGTCAATTTCTTCTTTCGTAAAATTCGGTGATTTCGGATTCGTAAAACGTTTTGAAAATATATTTAATCAAAAGCTGCCACCCAATTTTTTGGGGGGTAGGTCAAAGTTTCAGAAAGATCCGATTTGCAAAAAGTACACAAACAAAAAAAAATAATAACTAGATCTGCTACTGTCCCATGCAGATATGAAAGCTTTCATATTCATCATCACGTGACATGGATTATATCAAGTATCTTAAAAGAAAAAAGAACAACAAAAAATAATTTTTCTGAAACTTCTGGAACGGAAAATCATTCCGATTACAGCAATCCAACTCTCAGTTATTTCCCTTTAGTTTTCAGATTATTTTGTTGCCCGGGTGCAATGTTTCTCACTATATTTAGACTTGTAACTTCGCGACTTTTTCACCGATTTTGATAATTATTTTTTGTTGTTCTTTTTTCTTTTAAGATACTTGATATAATCCATGTCACGTGACGATGAATATGAAAGCTTTCATATCTGCATGGGACAGTAGCAGATCTAGTTATTATTTTTTTTTTGTGTGTACTTTTTGCAAATCGGATTTCTCAGAATCTAACCATGGGATCTTTCTGAAACTTTGACCTACCCCCCCAAAAAATTGGGTGGCAGCTTTTGATTAAATATATTTTCAAAACGTTTTACGAATCCGAAATCACCGAATTTTACGAAAGAAGAAATTGACCTACATACCAATAACTCTGTGACTATGAGACCTATTTTACTAATTCTTTTTTCTTTGAGTACATTGAAACATTTACTTCAAATCTGCAATTTCGAAAATTCGTCACTGTGATTTCGAACCGGAAGTTGAAACCAACTTGACAACTTCTTTAATAGTTGCACGATTTTCATGAAATTTAGTATGTATGTCGATCTTACCAATGCGGCTTGAAAAATGTCATTAGAAATTTTCTAAATTATCTCCCCTTGATGAAATTAAGGATCAAAGTTTACAAAAAAATCGACGAAATATAGGTCAGATTGCCTTGAATTTTTTTTCTCTACTAGCTACGACACTACTGATTCGTACACAACAAATGGAGTTTGTTGCCCATTCCGGAAGTGCCACCATCTTGAAATGTGAGAAACATTGCACCCGGGCAACAAAATAATCTGAAAACTAAAGGGAAATAACTGAGAGTTGGATTGCTGTAATCGGAATGACTTTCCGTTCCAGAAGTTTCAGAAAAATGGATCAAGCCGTTTAAAAACGGGACGGATGAGAACATGAAACGAAAATGGCGGGAAAGAACTAAAAAGAGACAGGAAAATATCAAAAAAATAAATGAAATAACTTTGAACGGAACTAACATTGTTTGAATCAGATTGACCTTAGCTGTTCGAATATTTAGGTTAAATTTGTAAATTTTGAAAATTAAAGGCATAAATTGTCCTGTTAACAACTTTGTCGGCACGTAAAAGGTCAAAGGCGAAATACGAAATTTTGAAAATTTTCAAACACCAAAAAATCGATCTTGATCTCGAGCTATCCTGAAATGCATTAATTTCAGAAATAAGAGACGCATTGAACATATTACAGCCTATTGTGGTTCATTTTCACGTCTGTTCAAGTGGATTTTTCACTGTTCTTCATATTCAATTCCAAATGGAGACCATCAGTTGACCGAAAATCTTTTTTTTTTTTGCTAAAACTCTTTTTTTTTAATCGGATCAAAATGTGAGTAAGGCTAATTCCTACAATTTATGGGCTTTTCTTCAAGGATTCGGAAAATATAATTCCCTTGTCTGTAAGTAAAATATCAAAAAAGCCTTAGCGATATTTCACATTTCAAGATGGTGGCACTTCCGGAATGGGCTACAAACTCCATTTTCTGTGAACGAATCAGAAGTGTCGTAGCTAGTAAAGAAAAAAAAAATTCAAGGCAATCTGACCTATATTTAGTCGATTTTTTTGAAAATTTTAATCCTTAATTCCTCCAAGGGGAGATAAGTTAGGGCATTTTTAATGGTATCGTCGAAGTTGGGTCAATGGGATCTACATACATTCCAAATTTCATGAAAATCGTACCAATATTAAAGAAGTTGTCAATTCTGTTTTACTTCCGGGACAAAATGTCAATGAGGTTATTTTCGAAATTCGAAATCGGAAATAGCAGATTTCAAGTCAATATTTCAAGGTACTCAAAGAAAAAAGAATTAGTAAAATAGGTCACATAGTCACAGAGTTATTGGTATGTAGGTTAATATCTTCGTTCGTAAAATTCGGTGATTTCGGGTTCCTAAAACGTTTTGAAAATATATTTAGTCAAAAGCTGCCACCCAATTTTTTTTTTTTTTGGGGGGGGGGGGAGTAGGTCAAAGTTTCAGAAAGATCCTATGGTTAGATTCTGAGAAATCCGATTTGCAGAAAGTACACAAAAAAAAAAAATAATAATAACTAGATCTGCAACGCAGATATGAAAGCTTTCATATTTAAAGTCACTTCTGTTGGTTATATGAAGAATCTCAGCAACCTCTAACTAGTCTAATGAAACGGACATGGGTCATGCAGTGAACTATGGGGGAAATTTATTTTGGTCAGCAGCGCTCTGGCCTGCTTTTATATCGAATGTTGCAATGATAGGGTGACCCATGCAACAATTACAATAATTTATCCGCTAAGAAATTCGGTCTTACCTGGAGAGTTGTTAATTGTCCAACGACGAATTTCTGAATGATGACGAAACAGCGCCGGGTCCACTGGGAGCACGTGCGAGTAATTCATCGCAGCAAATATCCACTATATATGGCCATGCACGTGGTATTGTCACAACATCAGATGATATATAAAGACAAGTTAAAATTTATTTCACCACGCGTTTGTCTTTGGAAATTATTTGATCGCAAACTACGTTCAAAATTCTAAAAATTATTGTCGTTTTTATTTTTCAATTCGCTATTTATCTACAGAGTGTTGTCATTTAGTTTCGGCGATATCACATCTCCGTAGAACTTGTTTTAGACGAGATAAGAAAAAAAGCCGTAGTTATCTTTTAATCTTTTAAAGGTTCCTAAAATCTTCGTGGAATTGCTAAGACCAGACGACTGATGTCAAGTTAGAAAATAAACAAATTGTTTCGCACTTAAATTTGCTACCGGGAATTAATCGAAACGCACAATAGTCTCGGTTGACTATATTTACTGTTCGAGACTATTGGCTTTTAGGGTTAAAGGTAAACAAATCTTTTTAATTTGTTTAGGAATTGACCGACGGACTTGTTTTAATTTGTTGTCAACCCATTCAATTAGCAAACATGACGTCCAACGATGAATTACTATCCAGCATTGGTTTGGGCGATCACTATGATCTCAGTACAATAACTAAACTTCCCTTCGCAAGAATTACAAATAGGCTAGTACTAGGCATTATTAATAAATTTCCGACCAATCACTATGATCTCAGTACAATAACTAAACGTCCCTTTTCAAGAATTACAAATAGGCTAGTACTAGGCATTATTAATAAATTTCCGACCAATACGGAGCACCGGTCTATAATTACTGCTTTACATGACGACTGCGTGACGTTTGATGACAAGGGTATTCAAAGTAGGCTGGTCAGACTGAAGACAAAGACTAGAAAGCTGGGTAAAAATAAAAATAATTCTAATAACGCTTTAAAATTATATGACGATTATCTCGACAGTCCTTTTTTCCCCGGGTTAGTGGACAAGACACCATCGGTAGATACCAGCACGATACATTTAATAAATAGAGAGACACAGCCATCTGTCGATGCTGCGACTTTGACCAAATTAAATAGGAAAAATAAGAATTTATTAAGAAGGGTCAATACGTATAAAAAAAAAATTCCGTTTAAAAAATCGACTAAGGAAGACCTCAAAAGAATTGATTCGCGCGAAGGCTAATAATAATAAAGTTTTGGCAAATAAAAAAACTGGTTGTAAGTCCCAACCTCGTGGCGAAGAAGTAATTTTGTATGATGTCAAAAATCAAAGATACACTCCAGAATGCCATAATTTGGTCATGCAACTAAAAAACCTCAACGTTTCCGATAGGAACGTCAACGCGGTTATAACCGGGACTGAAATCTAATTATACCCCAAAAAGAACTACAGTTCAAAGAATATCATGTGAGCGCGTCGGTGTATCTTTAAAGCATGTTTCGGAAACCTTAAAGTCAGCAAAAAACACCACTTTATATACGGACGAAACTACAAAATTTGGCTCCAAATTCGGTACATATGCACTAACCACTGACTCGACTCATACGCCAATTATTATTGGTCTTCGGAATATGGCTGATAAATATGCGCGAACTACTCTTGCAACTTTAAATGAAATTTTGGCAGATCTTGATGATATAGCTGGGCCCATTAGTAAATCCGTAATTTTCGAAATTAGAAATACAATGTCAGACAGAGCCAGCACCGAAAAGCTTTTTAACAATTTATTTACACAGTACAGAGGCAATTTTTGTTCTAAATTAGTAGAAAACTGGTCAGATTTATCAGATTCAGAGCGAAATATTCACCTAAATATCAATCATTTCTTTTGCGGTCTTCATCTATTAACTGGTTTGGCCGATAAAAGTGCGTCTGAATTGAAGAAATTTGAGGAAATGTATTTTAAAACGTATTCGGCCCAAACGTTTAAAACCGCTTCTTCATTTTTGCCAAACGGACCTGGGTGTGTTCGATTGGTTCGGACCATCTGTAAAGCTTTTACAAAGGGTGGGGACGAAAAGTCGGGTTGTTATTTGCCTTTTAAGTTGTATCTCAAGTCCCTTGGGATTTCAAAATTACCGCTAACGCCATTTCATGGTAACCGGTTTAATATTACTATTCAAAAAAAGTAGGGGATATTTGATTTTTAAGTGTTATTAAAGTCACCTAATGAAACTGACGAAGAAACAAATGACAAAATGAAATGAAGTTCACATTCATCGATTTATTCCAAATGATCGTTAGACTAAGTAAGGCACAGACTGACCATTATAAGGGTAAAATGATACCCGGGGTCAAACAGCAAAGTTACCACAGCATCACAACCAAGTCAGTAACGGGTAAATCCTCCTCCGTTTGCCAAACAAGCATTGATCCGACGTGGCATACTCCTAATGAGACGTCTAAGGTCATTTTGGTCCAGATTGTCCCATTCCTGTTGCAACGCAGCAGCAAGTTCTTGGACATTGGCAGGACGTTGTTGACGTTGACGTAACCTCTGTCCAAGCATGTCCCAGACATGCTCGATGGGGGAGAGGTCGGGACTCAGTGCTGGCCAAGGTAATGTGGTGATGTTCTGTTGTTGGAGGTAACCTGTAACGATCCTGGCCCTGTGACATCTTGCGTTGTCATCCTGGAAGATGAAACGGCGGCAATGACGTCGTGCGAACGGCACAACATGGACTGCCAAGATGTTGTCCCGGTAGTACTGGATGGTAACACGCCCTGCAACAACATGTAAAGCCGTTCTTCCAGCAACAGTGATGCCTCCCCACACCATAACAGAACCACCCCCAAATCGATCATGTCTGATGACGTTAACGTCTTGGAAGCGCTCGTTTCGACGACGCCACACCCTCCTACGTCTGTCCAAAAAATCAACAGTGAACCTTGACTCACCTGAAAACATCACATTGCTCCAGCGTCGATTATCCCAGTGTTGACGATCCCTACACCAACGACGTCTTGCCTGAATGTGATGATCTCTCAAACAAGGGATCACGCGAGGACGTCGGGCGCGAAGGTGACCCATATGCAGTCGATTCCGAATCGTCTGGACTCTCACTCTCACACCAGTGTCTGTTTGAAGACGAGCGCTGATCTGATTTGCTGTGATGACACGATTTCTCAAGGCCAAGGTACGGATAAATCGATCCTGGGCTTGAGTTGTCGCCCTTGGTCGACCTGAGCGTGGTCTGTCCTGTACAGATTGTGTATCACGGTATCTTGACCATAGCCTGCTTATGACAGACTGAGAAACATTCATCGTCCGCGCCACAACCGCCTGTGTTGTGCCGATCTGTAGCATGCCAAGGGCACGTAACCTTTCATTTTGGGTAAGCCGACGCATATCAAAATTTGTTTTCTGGTCACTAAAACAATTAAACTGATGTTTCCACCCTGGAATTCAATGCCACAATGACTGTAACATTCAAAGTCAGAGTCGTGCAAATCTTGGGTTGGACCCCCATGATGATCCCAAGCATCACCTGCATTCCATGCGGTAGCTATTGGTGCGTTTGGGCGTCACATGTAACTGGAAATGTTTCTTCTGTTAGGTTCTGTTTCTTGTGACTTTTTTCGTAGTCATTTGCATATTTTAGTATTATGCCCCCAAAATCAAATATCCCCTACTTTTTTTGAATATTATATTTTCCACAATGCCGCAATTGTAAATTATATGGCCAAGCATATAACAAATTTTCTTGGTGATTTTGGAACAGAAAATAGATTGACCCAAAGCATATTTTTAGATATTAAAATTCCGTTATTTCATATTGAGTGCCAGGCTTTGGGCTTGATAGATAAATTAATTACAGCTCCACTGTGGCGCATACTAGAAAACGGCATTAATGCACTTGACATGAAAACTATTTATCAGAAATTACATGATTTTTTGGAAAACCCGAATATTGAAAACTTTGTTGAAGGTAAATCACACCCATTTGAATCTCTAATCAAAATTGAAAATGATTCGGTCCTTGCTAACCTGACGAAATTTGATTCTGATTTAACTTTTAATTCAACCCTGATCCATATTTTGGAAGTCCTCTTTGCCGAGTTTAGAAAGTACATTGCAAAAATTTTACTTGAGTATCGAGATGACTTTAATCCTTCGTGTTCGAGTTCTGCCATGCCTCACAACAAATTACCGGAAACCGTGTTCAGTCATCTCGATAGATTAATGAGGATCACGCCCTCGTCTAATATTTTTGGCAACGAAGCGCCCATTTTATATAAAATGAATAAATCTGATGAATGGCTAAAAAATCATTCACCTGATAAACGTAATTTGGTCTTAATGGATGCTCAAACGATAACTAAAAATCAACTTTCTAAATTTAGGCAAAGACGGGAAGAAATCGAAAAAAAAAGCTAGCGGTTCTTTTGGCAAAAAGAATGAATTAATAGAAAAGGGGAAACGTGAGATTAGGAAAAAAGAGCGCCTAACAACAGAAATTATCGGGGTGGGTCTTTGGAAAAGTAAAGAGGGTATGGAAAATGGGCTTTTACAACTTACAGATAGGGAAATAAAAGAGGCACTGAAGGCACAGCTCCGGTTTCGTAGGTATGTTTTAAATCAGCAAGTTTCCAATAAGTCTATATTTTATTTTTCTGTCGCCGGTAAGGAACACTCGATTTCAGTTTTAAAAGGAAATTTACAAAAATTAATTGACCTGGCTGATCCTACCTAACCGGAAGAAACTTTCAATGCCCCTTTTTAGCGGTTATAAAAAAATACAATTTCTTCATTCTTCGTTTCTAAAACCATTTTATTTGTCAATCCAGACGTCCCAGCAGACCGACATTCCGACACTTCTCACAGTATTTTAACAATTCATTATTTAATAACTGTTTTCTTTAAACCAATCGGTTAATTTTCGGATAGCAATTTATTTTATAAAATACGCCTACTACTGTAGATCTGCTTTGATATCGTGCTTGAAAAGTTGCCTTTGAGATATTCTAAGTAAAACTTAACTTTTTATTTTGTCCCAAGGGGAACAATTTGGAATATATGTTTATTACAGATTAGTTCTAAATTACATATCTGTGTTTGGTAAATAATGACTATGTATTATTTATTATCAATCGATTTGTGAATTGTCGTAATAGATCGTGTTTTGGGGTAAGATTTGAGTTACGCTTTGTTTGATAAAGTGAGTACACCTGCGCTGATTACCTTAATTTTTAACCTATTTATTTTTGGGAAAACCCGTATTTCTTTCGTATAATAGCAGACAAGATAATATTGACTGTTTTATAAAAAAAATATCTGCCAAGACAGATGTTATACTATACATATAAATGTATGTAAGAGTGTTGTAATAGACGACATACCGTTATGAAAGAAGATCTAACATACAGGCATGTTGATTCCGAGGGCGTTGGTCACGATGAGATGTGTTTTTGTTAATGTTATCGATCGCTTTCAGTCCCTATAAAGTTATAGGAAATACATATTAAAATAATCAGCATATTTATTCTTGTGTAAAAGCTATCATACAAGAAGGAACGTCCTCCCGAATTTGAATTTGTTCTTAATTATGTATCTTCTAGTTTGTATTCACTTATTCAAACCCAACTACAAAATGTCAATGTACATCTCAAATCTGTACATAACTTGATCAGCTATTGCATATTTTTCATTTAGATTGATTAAAATAGTCTGTCATTATTTAATACTCTAATTACTCCATGAAACTTTTCGTCAATATACATACTTTCCGAACATTATTTCTTAAATGGGACATCAAATATTAATTTATAAAGGCACATTCACATATAAATACCAATATAAATAGACCTATGTGTCTATGGGTATACAGAAAATATAAATAGATTGGTCTAATATATCTACAAAAACTTAAATAAATTTAAATTGGACTGCACACATCAAAATTAAGCACACGGGAATGGCCGATCCAAAACTGAGCTGCGTTACGCATGCTCGGAAATCTTAAATTCAATCGAAGCATGGAGCCAATTTCATCAGATAGCAAATTACAAATTAAACGAATAGTCCCGAATGGTAGTGATGGTTCATTCTTATCGGAAAATAATCAATAATTTGAAATAACCAAAAGAACATAACTCCGTCAACATTGAAAACCCAAAACAAATATGTCCGTGGATGGTGCACAAAAGCAGTGTATTTTACAATGCAGTCGAATGGATATATCTTGTGAAATATAGCACACAGGTACAGTTTCTTGGCAGTTTATAATAAAGGATCATCTAGGGTTGTTCTTTATATAAATATAGTGCCATAACTGTAAATAGTTTTCGAGATTTTTTTTCAGCTCGGGTCACCCTAGCAATGATTCTTTTATGTGGATGACAATAGGGTTCTTAATGTTGCAGGGTAATGTGCACAAGGTACAGCAATTTTTGTTCGATCTGAACGACTGAACATTGCTCCTTGTCATATACTGTCCATCGTGAGATTAGAATATTTATTTGATTCCCTGGTTGTATGGACAAGGAGTAGGGTTGTCTGATCCAAGTTTGGGGTTTTTCCCCTGGTCCTCCGGTTTTCTCCCACTGCTGAAGAGACTACAGGATGCAAATTTTTGAAAGAAAATTGAACGATAAGTTAGTTCTGAAATGACCTAGTTTTGAGTAAACTCGATTTGTTTCTTTCTCTTCGTTTCAAGGTGGTGGCACTTCCGGTTCAATTGGCAGACTTCATATTTTGTGTACACATCAGTACTTTCTTTGCTAGTACAGAAAAAAAATTTCAAGGCAATCTGACCTATATTTCGTCAATTTTTTTTTAAAAATGTGATCTTTAATTTCATCAAGGGGAGATAATTTAGAACATTTCTAATGACATCTTTCAAGTCGCTTCGATAAGGTTACTTACATACTAAATTTCATAAAAATCGTGCAACTATTAAAGAAGTTGTCAAGTTGGTCTCAACTTCCGGTTCGAAATCAAAGCGATTTGAAGTAAATGTTTCAAGGTACTCAAAGAAAAAAATAATTACAGTAATTATCGGAAATCGCCGAAAATCAACAGGCTTCTTCGTCTCATGACCTTAAACACTGTGTATAAATTTAAAGTAGCTAAGTCTCTAACTCAATATCATCCAAAGTCTTACACGTTGAAAATACGAATTATTTGTCAATTCAAATCAACATTGATGTTGTGATCTTAACAGGAAAAGACAGGCTTCTGATATCCAATATTTAAGACAAAATAAACATTTTACCATTGGTACACGAATCGTGTACCATAGTCCGTTTTAGCGTCATTTGCAAGAAGTGACCAGAAAGAACGAGGCTAGACATATTCAACTGGGGAGCCTGCGCAATAGACCGGAATAACCAGACGCTAGAAATTACTATAGGGTTGAGACACATGGCGTATTTCGCTGGACATTTGAAATTGATTTGAAATTAAGAGTCAAAACGGAAACAATTGAATGTAAATCAGTTTATATACAATCAGATTACATTATTATATGCGTTGCGACCCATTTGGGTCAATTTCTAGGTCTCAAATATGAGCGATTTAGCTCCTTTAAAGTCAATCGGATACTAAATTTAGCCTCTAAAGTGTCCACAAGATTTTTTCAAGTGATCAAGGGCCATAACTCTGACAGTAATTATCGGAAATCGCTGAAAATCAGTAGGCTTCTTCGTCTCATGACCTTAAACACTGTATAAATTTAAAGTAATCGGATATTAACTTTAGCCGGCCGGACGTGGGCGACGACAATATACGACCACATTTCAATGTGGGCGTATAAAATTAACCGCATGCATATAATATTTAATATATGATAATATCAAAATAGTCGATTTCGGTTTTTAGTGTTGCGGTCATTTTAAAAAAATGTCTTTTAAGGACAATGTGTATAGTACTAATAGCAATCACATACGGAAGAAGCGATAAGATCCCTTTGCATTTGCAATTTCAAAATTAATTAAAACCAAATTTAAATTCCGAAAATCTTTTTTTTGGGGGGGGCTAAAACTTTTTTTTTTTAATCGGATCAAAATGAGAGTAAGGCACTTTTTTCCCCTCATGGAAGCCGTAAATTGACTTGAGGCCAGAGTCCTTGAAGTTGTACAGCTGCACCCGGTGACCGATATTTATTTAACGGGGAATAAGTGATAATTCATATTATAGCAGTAAATAATTAAAATATTTCATAGGGATTATAATAATATGTATATCATGTCTGGGTATTACTGGGTTAAAACCAATATTAAATTCCGAAAATCGTTTTTTTGCTAAAACTCTTTTTTTTTTAATGGGATCAAAATGGGGGTAAAGCACAGAGTCCGGGGTGGTAATGGGCGTATTGTGTCCAAATTTCATGGTTTTCGGACAATCGGTGCCGGTGTCACGGCGAAATTCCACTTTTTTCCCCTCATGGAAGCCGTAAATTGACTTGAGGCCAGAGTCCTTGAAGTTGTACAGCTGCACCCGGTGACCGATATTTATTTAACGGGGAATAAGTGATAATTCATATTATAGCAGTAAATAATTAAAATATTTCATAGGGATTATAATAATATGTATATCATGTCTGGGTATTACTGGGTTAAAACCAATATTAAATTCCGAAAATCGTTTTTTTGCTAAAACTCTTTTTTTTTTAATGGGATCAAAATGGGGGTAAAGCACAGAGTCCGGGGTGGTAATGGGCGTATTGTGTCCAAATTTCATGGTTTTCGGACAATCGGTGCCGGTGTCACGGCGAAATTCCACTTTTTCCCCCCTCATGGAAGCCGTCAAACGACTTGAACGAATGCAGGTATCACCTTGAAATTTTCAGGGTACCTAGGTACTAACGTGAAAAGTTGCTCGCCGGAATTTAGTACTCATGGTACCGTTGGTTCCTGTCTAGCGCATGCGCGAAATCAAAACCAGCTAAACTCGAAAACAACCTTGTCGGCACGGAAAACATCAAAGGAGAAATTCGAATTTTTGAAATATTCAAATACCAAACATTCGACCATGATCCAGGCTATCCTGAAATGTAATAATTTCGGTAATAGGAGACACATTCTCTAAGTCACGACCAATTGTGTATGTTTTCAAGCCCATTAATGTGGATTTTTCACTATTTTTCATTTTCAATTCAAAATGGCGTCCATCAGTTGACCTAAATCAAAATTCTACTGCCTACATTTTATGGGCTTTCCTTCAAGGATTTGGAAAATATAATCCCCTTGTCT